AATCATCTGTGTAAATTATAGTTGTTATTTTCTAGTTCCTGCACTTATCAAAAATAGTTACTCTAACTACTTTCATGAAGTTGAATGCTGAAAGTTGTTTGAATTTTTCCAAATAGTTCATCCAACTCCTCTTTATAGTTCATTGTATTACTCTTTTCACCCAACTACTTACGAGTAGCAGCTACAAATATTAGTTGCCGTAACTAGTTTTCCTTTTTCGATGTAGATAGTTGGCTCAACTATCTCGATTTTTCTTAGTGTGGTATACACGAAATATTTGTTTATCGAATTCCTGCTTTTAATGTCTCCAAAACTCCACCACTTTACCCAGCTTTAATATACTAGGGTATTAATGGAGCTGTTCTATTTTGCATATCAGTCTATAGTTTGAAAAAAGTTTATTGACGATATTCCTCTATATGTTTTATTTCAATTCCATTGAACAAATAATTAAGGTAGCTGTTAAAGAATTCGGGCAGGTACAATGACAATAAACATAAAAAATATGACTGATAGTACAAACTTATATGAAAATTTTTTTATCCTTACTCTAAAATACAGTGCTCATCAAGTTTTATATTGTCTTCCAATGTAGATGGGCCCATGTTAACTTTTCAAATCTGAAAAATAGAAGCTCACGAGGGATTCCAAAAGCACCCGAAGCTTTCTTCATTTTTTCCTCTGTAAACACTGGAGATTAATTTACATGAAGTATAATTGATTTATATTTCTAATTTTATACTTTTTAGCAATCGACTAATTGTTTTTACACTAAAATATCTTAAATATACGATCGTCTGACAAGTGATGCGGTGCTGTCAAAATGTACAATTAAATTTTTAGATTATTTGATTAGTTGGAATTGTTCATCAATTCCCATGTAAACGGTGAAAGGTGTCAAATAATTTTGGATGTATATATGCTGAAAATTCCCTTCAATTAATTTTAAAACAAGATCAGCTACGTCGTTAAAGGGACAATCATTTTTATGCGTGTATTCTGATTTGGATTTTTGGAGCACTTGTGATGAGTGTGCATACTGTAAATTTTCATTAGTAGTAAGTTGTTCGTCCACGTTATTTAAGCTGTAAAGTTAATTTAAAAAGAATTGCATAAGACGTGGCACAATTTTTAAGAACCATATCAGAATATATTTCTATCAATAGAGAACATGACAACAATTGGGCCAAGTCTTCTTCAATTTTTTATGAATTAATTACTTTTTTAAATTAAGTAAAAATTAATTGCAAAAAAAATTCATCGTAAATGTGCATCTACAAAATTACTTTTTAAATTATTCATAGAAAATTCGAACAAATATTTTTTTACACTATAAATCGAAATCCATAAAAATAATGACTTAATTTTATGAATGACATGGCGTTCCATTTGATTTCAAACATTTTTGTTGTTTTAAAATTCTTCTGATTGATTATTTAAGAATAAGATCTTTCATTATTTGCAGAGTCACTTAGGACTTGTACATAGCGCGAGGTTTTATTGTCATCTGAAGATGGTAGGATTATTTTTCCTACAATACTCCATAGATTTTTAATAAAACATGATTTTGTTTTTTATAATAATTCATTATTTACTTGTAAAATATCGTAGCGACCAATAATAATATAACTTGTACTACATACCCCAACAAAAACACTATTTTAATAAAACTGTATTGTTAAAAATAATACAAAAGGTTGTCAGATCATTACAAGCCAAGTATTTTAACTTCTACATATATTATGTTCATTAAAATTCAATGGGTTATTTATTTTCAAAAAATTATGTACTTTGTTGCATATAATAAAGATAATTTTGGATAAAGAAAAAATTTTAGAGCTGAAAAATAACTATTTGTTATTTGTTTTATTAAACAAATGAAAGAAATGAAAGAATTTTGATTGTAATTTATCAACAAAATACTTGGTGTCACTATTACCTTTTTCCTCCTATTAAAATCCTGATTTTTTTTAAACATTAATCATATACGAGACGGAGCTGTAATGAAGATTTAATACGTTCATATTTTGATAATGTGTTTAGAACTTCGAGTTTCATTATAAGAAATATTTATTGGCCCTAAAAAGGGCCGTTTGGGTTTAAATTTTCTAAGCACTGCTTTTTTCAGTCTTCTTAGGGAGAAGTACAGCTTGGATGTTAGGAAGAACTCCACCTTGAGCAATAGTAACTCCAGACAGAAGTTTGTTTAACTCTTCGTCGTTACGGATAGCTAACTGGAGATGACGTGGAATAATTCTGGTTTTCTTGTTATCACGAGCAGCATTTCCTGCTAACTCAAGAACTTCAGCAGCTAAGTATTCCATAACTGCAGCCAAGTAGACTGGAGCTCCAGCACCAACTCGTTCAGCGTAGTTACCTTTGCGTAACATCCGGTGGATACGTCCGACTGGGAATTGTAATCCAGCTCGTGTTGACCGGGTCTTGGACTTTCCCTTGACTTTGCCTCCTTTCCCACGACCAGACATGATTTTTATTTTATGTAGTTAATACTCGAGACGACAGAAAAGCAGTAGATGTCAGATCAGTCTATGCGGTACAGACTTATGGATTTTGTAGTGTATCTCCGAACCAATAAAATAAGAGTTCCTTGTTCCCACTACAGCAATGTGGTGTCAGCTGGATATTTTGATGTGGTGTATCTCCGAACCAATCCCGTACGTTTATGCTCTGTTAACTGCTAAGAGTTAGTGGCGTAAAAGTTTTTATTCCAAACAATAAGTATTGATGGAAAAAAATTCCTATATTTGTTGATTTCACGATAGAGTTTTGTATTTTTAATAAAAATACTTTATTTTAAATGAGTTGATTAATAAGTCATTATTTTTTTTTTTTCCGTTCTCTTTCTATTTATAATAGAAAAACTATAAAATACATAATAGGACGAAAATGTGAACGATTTTCTTCCGATGAAACCATTAGTATTAATAAAAAGATTGGGTTAAAATATTATTGTTAATAACTATACATCACAATTTTTAAGTCGGTGAAGATTTTTTTTTTTCATTTTTTCATAATATTTCACAAATTTTTTCCAAACACTTACCATATAAAAACTAAAATACAGAAATAAGAAACATACTACTTTAATTGCTTTTTCTAAAAAAAAAGATATTTTACTGTTATACGATTTATTTTCTTTCCATTATATACAGAAAATAATTATTCGAAACAAAACATTCCCTCATTTTATCGAACAATATTGTCTACCAAAACATCTATTACTAGAAATGATAATAATAATAATAATAAATTATTAATAATATAGTGATTTTTATTCAAAAAATGTGTTGAGTCGGAAACATTGTGTGTTTGTCATTACAAAAATACCATTATAGAACCTTTATTTTTGATGGTATCAGAATGATATTTATTTATATCAATAATATAACTCTTCTAATATTTTTTATCACAATTTATGCAAATATTTTTTCATACAAAAATGAGCACTAACAATTTAATGTCTTTAAATGTCAATGAATTATAAACTGTAGTTATGATTGAATTAGAAATAATTGATTACAAAGTAAATATCATCTAGGAGAGAAACTCTTTTGTAATCAGCAAACGTTCATTTAGTAATTTGTATCAGTGTAACTGAATTTAAGTTTATTGTTTATTGATAATTATCAAAGAATTGAATAAAATTTAATACTAAAAGTTGGAAAGTGTTGTGGCGCTAGTATCGAAAACCAACACGGCGACTCTTCATGGTCCGCGCTCAATTATGTGTATAGCGCTGTTTATTGGCATATTAATTTTTATACGAAACAAAATTCAGTTAACACTGTACTCAGTTTGTGAAAACATTTTAAAAATGACTGAAAAAGCTATAATTGTTGTGACTTCAGCGACTGAAGATAAGGCCACCGCTAAAGCAGCTTCACCAAAAAAAGCCGAAGCACCGAAAGCAAAAAATTCGAACGCTAAAGCTAAGTCTCATCCAAGCACTGCTTCTATGGTTAAAGCAGCCATTAAAACTTTGGCTGAACGCAATGGATCATCCCTACAAGCTATTAAGAAGTATATCGCCACTATATACAAAGTAGATGCTGAGAAACACGCTCCATTCATCAAAAAGTTCTTGAAGTCTGCTGTTACTGACGGTACTTTAGTTCAAGTGAAAGGTAAAGGCGCTAACGGATCATTCAAGCTTCATGTAACAAAAGCAACTACTACGAAATCTAAGCCTAAAACTACGACGGCCAAGAAAACCGCATCGAATAAGAAAACTCCCACTACTAAGAAACCTGCAGCAAAAAAAACTGCAGGTCAAAAAACAGCTCCAAAGAAAGCAGCTCCTAAAAAGGAAACCAAGACAGCAGCTGAAAAAAAAGGAGTAAAAGCTGTTACAAAGGAATCTAAAGTCAAAACAACAGCTCCTAAGGCTAAGAAAGCAACTAAAGCACCAACTGCTAAACCAAAAGCACCTAAACCCAAGAAAGTGTCTACACCTAAAGCAGCTAAATCAACTAAAAAGATAGCTGCTAAAAAATAAATTTATACTAACGGAATTTTTTCATTAAAAATACAACGGCCCTTTTTAGGGCCAAACAATTTATTCTCAATATAGAAAATTTCTCTGCTGATACAAATTGCACAATTTACTCTCATTAACTTTTTACATGTACGTAAAAAGTACATATTAAAATAGAACTGTTTTTGTTCTGTAATCTTCATTATTGTTTTATGTATCAATTACTTAGAAAAATAGTCATCAAATAATGAAATTTTTAAAATTTGCTGAATAGAAGTTTTTAATGTCTATTTAATAAGTATACAAAATAAAAAATAATATAATTTTCAATTTTGTTTATTTAAAAATTTAGATTTTAAAAAGTTTTGATACTAAGGATTTTTACAAATTATCTTTTGGAATGATATATACGCGAAATTGAATTGAATTTTTTGTTATGGACAATTTATTGTTTAGTCTTAAAATATATGAAATCAGAATTGAGTAGCTCTTGTATGATAATATGTAGGCCCTAAAAAGGGCCGTTGATTAATGAAGCAATTTATGCTCTCTCTCCTCTAATACGACGAGCAAGTTGGATATCCTTAGGCATAATGGTTACTCGTTTGGCGTGGATAGCACACAAGTTGGTATCTTCAAAAAGGCCAACTAAGTATGCTTCACTGGCTTCCTGAAGTGCCATAACAGCTGAGCTTTGGAATCTCAAGTCAGTCTTGAAATCCTGGGCAATCTCACGTACTAAACGTTGGAAAGGTAGTTTACGGATGAGAAGTTCAGTGCTCTTCTGGTAACGACGGATTTCACGGAGAGCGACAGTTCCTGGCCTGTATCGATGAGGCTTTTTCACTCCTCCGGTGGCGGGGGCACTTTTACGTGCGGCCTTGGTGGCGAGTTGTTTACGTGGAGCTTTACCTCCGGTAGATTTGCGAGCAGTTTGCTTTGTACGAGCCATGGCGTAGTAAAATGTATCTGGTTACTTCGTATAGAACGATGTTAACGAGAATGGTGCCCCCGCCAGCGAAATCTGCCGTTATATATTCTTTTCTTTGTGACAGCTGTTGCATGGTTGGTTGACGAGGTCTTACGGGGGAATAAAGTCCGATCGGTGGCTATTCGTCGAATAAATATGGTGGGGATGGCTGAAGAAGTATATAAGTCAGCACAGTGACGGGTTTAGACATTCATTTCGTTTCGAGTTCTACTTGAGAGCATTTTGAATAATAGTAATCATGACTGGTCGTGGAAAGGGAGGAAAAGGATTGGGAAAAGGAGGTGCTAAGCGGCATCGTAAAGTTCTTCGTGACAACATCCAGGGTATTACCAAGCCTGCAATCCGTCGTCTGGCTCGTCGTGGTGGAGTCAAACGTATCTCAGGATTGATTTATGAAGAAACTCGAGGAGTGTTGAAAGTCTTCCTTGAGAACGTTATTCGTGACGCTGTTACATATACTGAACATGCTAAGCGGAAGACAGTCACTGCTATGGATGTTGTCTACGCATTGAAACGTCAAGGACGTACTCTTTACGGATTTGGTGGTTAAACTACATTTTATTTTATCAACAAACGGCCCTTTTCAGGGCCAACAAATTTTCTTACGTTGACTTTACTACGTTCTAAACCATTTACTTTAAAAGTCATTTATCGTCAAAAGATTAAATGATGGGTAAAATCGTTGCATAACAAAAATGAAAATTCTGGGTAATATTGACTTCAATTCACAATGCAATTTTATTATTGAGTTTTTATCATTATTATTATTATTATGCATTGTTGTCAATTTAAATATAAAAATAGTTCTTAAAACTCCTTTAATTGATTATATTTCGTACCTTGTGTATTCCAATAAATTCTAATAAATTGATTACATTAAGATGGAAGACCAATAGTTACATATAGACTATTGAACAAAGTATTTTTGGTTCTACTATACTCTTTTCTCCTTATTCTTTAGAATACTTTGTGTCATATTTAACATAAATATTTTTTAAATCAACCACAACATGAAAATAACAATCAATTTTACAAATCTGTATTTTTTTTATACTGATTATTTTTAATCACCTATCATTTGATAAAATAAATATTCAAAACAATTGAATGATAGTAAATTATTCAATATAGCTTTCTTCAATGTAATTTGTTTGTTTTTTTTTCTTATTTTTTCCTACAGACAATAATATACTTCCAAATTGCATATTTAAGTATTATTGATTGTCCAAATGTTCTTATTGTTTCTGTCGTCTTCGGATTTGCTCGAGAAAAACATGTATAATATATTTCATGAGTAGTCAACTACTATGCAAGAGATAAAGTAACTCAAATTTCTTTAATTTTATAGGAATTAATATGAATATATGTTCTGAATGATGAGTATTTACAACTTGTTTGTTGTACGTTTTGAAATATTTAGTGGTCCTGAAAAGGACCGTTTTAGAATATCTGAAGATAAAAATTTACTTGGAGCTAGTATATTTGGTAACTGCCTTAGTACCTTCACTGACTGCGTGTTTAGCCAACTCTCCAGGAAGCAACAATCGTACTGCAGTCTGAATCTCTCGAGAAGTGATAGTTGATCTTTTGTTGTAATGAGCTAGGCGAGATGATTCTGCGGCAATCCGTTCAAAAATATCATTGACAAAGCTATTCATGATGCTCATGGCTTTACTTGATATACCAGTATCGGGATGTACTTGCTTGAGCACTTTGTAAATGTAGATAGCATAGCTTTCCTTCCTTTTGCGCTTCTTCTTGGTCTTATCACTTTTAGAGATATTTTTCTGGGCTTTGCCAGATTTTTTGACAGCTTTTCCACTTACTTTAGGAGGCATTGTGAGAGTAAGATTCTTGAAATTCAAGACTCAGTACCAGAACAGAATTCGATTTTCCACTTATGCTGATTGTAAATGTATCACCGATCCAATCACAGCCGACTATTGAAAAAGAACGTTGCTTATTGGTTCGGAGGTAACTGTCAGTAGAAAGAGACAACACTAGTAAAAAGTGCGAATCGGAGAGTAAAGAAACGTGATTGGTTCGGAGGTACATCATATTAGAATTTTCCAGCTACTGCACTGTATTACATTATTACCCCTTTTATCTTTTTTTTCTTTAATTAGTACGTTTTTTGACACATTCAACATAAAAGCCAAAAATTTGGCCTGAATGATTAATTGGCTTAAATATCAAGAGTAACTGCTCGTTACTTGCGCCATGTCACGCCTCACTTTTGTCTTTCTCTCTTTCTCTGTCATGTTGCGTGATAAGCAGACACTCTTATACACAAAACTTTGTATTTCTCTCTTCCCTGCAATTTTATTTCCTTTATTTGCTCAAAAATTACGTAAGATACAAGCGAATTATACTTACATTCGCCATATAAATCATCCATGAGTTTTCATTTGCTGCATAGATAATAATTTTTCATTCGTTCATCAAAAAGATATTCGACTTCAAAGATTAAAAATTAGAAGTTTTCTGAAAAACATTCAGCCATATTCATTCCATGGATGAAAGTTGGACATTTCGTGTTTTCTTAAGTTGGCACTCACTGACTGCAATCTGTAATACACTCGGCTTCATAAATGCCTAGTGTATCCTTGCACTGACAGAAAAAATGTAATAGCTAGAAAGTATACTAGCGGCAAACACAGAATATACTCAATTTGAGTATAATTATTATTTGATGCAAGTACATTTTATATCAAAATAAATTGTAAAGTGTGCTGTACAATCATAATAACATTAAAATATAAATAATCATATTAATAATAAAAAAGTTACTGTTATACCCATTGATATTGGTAAATTTAAATTAGTGAGCATTACTGATGAAGTAATTTAATGATTAAATATTCAGTAATTAATAAACAGATGAAAAGTAATCTTATAATAATTACAACAATTACTGTTGTACTTTTAAATACGTGGAGCTGCTGCACTTAGACTTGGCATTTATATTTTGAAATTTTTTAATTTAATAAGAACAAAATTTTAGCATGAGTACTTTATATACTTAATTTAAGTATATAATATACTTGCAGTAAAGAATTGATATACTTGAATCAAGTAACAAGTATCTTCTTATTAATAAAAAGAATTCATAATGTGAGAAAATGGTTTTTGAAGTGTAAAACAGCATTAAACTTAGCATAAGTACGCTTTATACGGGATTTCCGTATAAAATACACTTGTGGTAAGTAAGGAAGATCGTCAGTGTAAGAAAACTATATTATCAACTGAAGTAAACTTTGTAATCTTTTTTTATTATCTACCTACTTGAGATAAACAAAATACATTGGCTTACATTATACTGATTCCAAGTAGAAAGACTATTTAAATACAAGTACTTTATTTTCATAAAACTTGTATACTTATTACTTCTTCAATCGCTTGTAGTCTACTAAGGAGTGGTATATTTTGTATTTAGACTCAGTATTTTTTTTTAATCATTTCAAAACGAAGTTTTACTGATTCCAGGTACTTTCTTTACTTGCCTTCCGAAACTTTGTTACCTATCACTTTTATACTGGGGACGGGAGCGTAACATCCGTCTTCAATAAGATGTCAGTCAAAGGCATTTTTACAATCTTAAGAAATTAGGACTGGTAAATTATCTTGCGTCGGTATAGTAGAAAAAAAATTCAACTAGTGTCACTGTTTTCTGATAGATGACAGTAACTGCACTTTTTTCAATCAAAAATTCAAAATGCTTATACAGAGAAAAGTCTTCTTTCTGGCTCATGAGATGTCATGTAATTCCTACTACATACATAAGTATATTTAGGCTTATAATCTAGTGATAATAATGAATGATAATTTAAAATAGCCATGTAATTTCAATGAAGATTATACGTGAAGTTACAAGAAAGGAACCAAGTCATCCAGTTATTATAGCTGATAAAAAAGTTATCAGTAATAAAGAAGGAGCATTTTTTTCATATAATCGAACAAAAATATCATCTATATTAGATAAATTTAACAAAGAATGCATAAATGGAAAATATCCTGCATTATGAAGCATAGATAACATTGGTTTGGATACATTAAATTTAGAAGTAAGTTATAAATTGTACAAGAAAGCTTGTTAAAAAATTATATTGATAAAGTACTTATCATTATTCTTATCATTAACGTAGGAAGATTGGTAATTTATTTATAATTTTATTTTTGGATATCCAATGATTGTATCAAACTCAATAGAGTTCAAACTTCATCACGAATTATGTCTAGAAGTAATATGTTCATTTCTGTCTCACTTAAGTACAAAAATTCAGTATTTATTATCGTTGATATCGTATTTCAATGGTAAGATAAAATAAGATGTAACTTATATATACAATTTTCCATGAAAAATAATATCATCCAACAGAAAGGATGTACTCATTTACTACCAACATTAATGGCCACAATTTATTTACTCAAAGCTGACTAGTGATTCATATTAAAATTTATTAATAAATTTATATTAATATTATATTTATATTTAAATTCATGTAAATTACAAATACTGATTTATTTTTATAAAAACTTAAGTAATAAAACTTTTTTTTTTCGTTGCACGAAAATTGTTTATGTTTATTAAAGAAGAGAATAATACTGGCAGACATTATTTTTGAAGTTTCTCAACTTTTTAATAATTCAGTTTTCAAATTTTTTCACTTGGATTACGTTATTACGTTAACATTGAGATAAAAATGTTATTATCATTAGATTATAAGCCTAAATATACTTATGTATGTAGTAGGAATTACATGACATCTCATGAGCCAGAAAGAAGACTTTTCTCTGTATAAGCATTTTGAATTTTTGATTGAAAAAAGTGCAGTTACTGTCATCTATCAGAAAACAGTGACACTAGTTGAATTTTTTTTCTACTATACCGACGCAAGATAATTTACCAGTCTTAATTTCTTAAGATTGTAAAAATGCCTTTGACTGACATCTTATTGAAGACGGATGTCACGCTCCCACTGGGGACAAGTAAATTCT